GGAATGCCTGTTGTACTGGGCAGCGTTCTTACCACTGCAGCTGGGAAGCCGGGTTAAAGCCGTGTCTAAACTGCTCTTAATAGTAGTTCCAGAGTAAGTTACAGTACAGCTCCTCTTCACTTTCAACCTGCAGTTAGACCCCAAGTAATTCAACTCAACTTCTCATCCCCCTTTCAGCAAACTTGTCTCTAACACGAACAGCAGGGATGTTACAGGATCAGAATTAAGATGCAACACGACTACGTGTAGCAGCAACTTGCCAGTCTCAGGGATACACCAGGTTTATCAAAGTCTTCAATGATAGCTTCCTACATTATTTCAACAGATTTATTTTTAAATAGCAGTAATGCTTGTTTCACTTCAGCTCTTGATCCCTACTCAAGAAAGCTTTTCTCAGTTCACGTGCGCACTTGGCTAAAAGCAAAACCTCAACTGTAACAGCCATTAAAAAAAAAAAACCCATTCACTAAAGGGATCCACCTGTGTACACACGTTAACAGAGTGGCAGCTACTCAGATTCCCAGCTTTCCTGACTGGATTTCCTTTCCCTTGTAATCTTCAGCTCACAAGATCATACCTCTGTGGGTGATGAAAGCAATCAGAGATAACACTTACTAATTCCATGTCTCCTCCTCCTTTTTTCTTAAAGGTTGAAGTGAGAGAAGATGACAGGGAGTCAGCCATTAGTAGTTGTTCCTAGATTCAGAGCAAGCTCAGATAGGCACGGAGAGCACCACTGCAGAGAACACTTTCATCAAAACCTGTTCTTATACATGTCAGAGATACTTGAAGGTAATATTTATTTTTTCAGTTTACAAGTGATAACATCATTTACAAAAAAAATTACAGACAATGCATCCTTTCAGTGCAGTTTCAAACTAGTTCGAGAACAGGCAAAAGTCTGTGATGATTTGGAATGCTAGTATTCGACAGCACATGCTTTTTCCCCTTAATTGATTGGGTGGGGTAAGGAATGGGGTACAGGTAGGGTGAAGAGGAGAAAATGCCAATGTAATTAAGGCCATGCGAATAAAAACTCCTCAGGAGAACAGGACACATCAGTCCACCTAGCATGTTTTTTGTTCTCAGGTAACTGGTACAGAGATTGGAAGTCCCAGACAACATTTGACACTTCAGTGCAGTGCCCTTAGAAGCTGCCAGTACCTTCCAATGCCTTCAGTTCTACACCAACGCTGTGATTTCAGATCACCTACTGAGCTACCTAAAACAGAATGACTAAATCTTCATGTCTACTCTCCACCATTTGAGTTCTCGGCTGTAGTTGCTGGGAGAACGAAAGGTCAAGTTGAAAATACAAGGTGCTGCTATATGGTGGCACAACTAAAGAACAAGACAGTTTGACCACAGCATGACTAATTTCTTGCGGAGATGAAATATATTAGACAATTCAGCACAAGCAAATCTACGATTTCAGGATGAAAAGCAGCCCAAATTAGTGTATGGTAAATTAAGCTACATCAATTAAGTACTTGCAATAGGTTTATGCAGCCACATCAATCCAGGGAAAGCCAGGGCAGACTGACTAAAGCAAGAGAGCCCTCTGTGAAGTTCCTAGCGAGAGGAGAGGTTCATACCAGTATTTAATAATTTGCCAGTCTGCTATTCGCAGAACAGTTTTTGTAATCTTGGACAAGACAGGGTCTAACAAACAAGGAAACCAGTACAGATTCTAAATACATTATTTGAAATTTTAGCCTATGCTTTGTTCCTTATCTCACTTAATCCTGCAAGGGTGTTATTACAAGGAGCAGATCAGAATACAGCAGCCTCTACAGACTGAAGAGAATTTAGAAGGTCTATTAGCTGTTACATTTAAGCAAGAGCATCAGAGATTACAAAGATTATATGCAAGCATGACCTTACCTTGACAGCTCTACTCCCAGCAGTGCTTCCTGTTCTTGAAAGTCCCTCTGAACCCTACGCAACAATTTCCTGTGACACTCAAGGGCTGCTGCACAGGAACACGGCCTTTCTTCCAGTGAAGCCTCACTGAAGCAGCGTTACCTGACCTCTTTCCCCAGCCAACCTTTGTACTAGCTCTCCTACACAGGACGCCAGGGCTTTCTGGAGTGAGGATAAGGACAAATTAATTCTGTAATAGCTGCCACAGGACTATTTCCAAGTAACTTATGGAGAGGGTGGGAGGGGCTTTACGGGAAGATTACGCATGCTTGCATATATTTACAGGGATTCTCTCTGCATCTACTGACTTAAAAAAACCCCTCTATTATTAAACAGTTTGAAAATTAATTTTTCCTTTTTGCAAAATTAAAATCAACCCTCAAGGATTAATTGCATATAAAAAAGAAACCTATTTTACAGCACTGACTAGTATTACCTTTAAAATCAACAGGAAACCCCCCCCACATGCTGCAACATTGTTTGACAAAGCAAAAATTGCCCACAGCATAATCACCCAAAATGAACCAGTGTGAAGTTTTTATTTGCATGGCCAAAAGATCTTCCTTTCGTTCCCCTGCAACTCTTTTTTCCTTTAACACGCTGTAAGGTTTTTGCTGCAGAAGGAACAATATGCAACACTGCATACCTCCTTGAACAGTCACTCCCACAACACCTAAACATTTAATGGATGTAGCGAATGACAACACCACGAACGGGAAAAAAACTAAGTTCCACCATTCAACATGGTCTGCAACAGTGTCTTTAAGTCTGGCTGAAGTGGGCAACTTCACTTTAGAAGGTCATTTCCTCCTCGTTTCTTTACAGTGTTGGTGGTTTCAATCCATACTTCTTTGCAACTTCTGTCTGGGCATAGGCAGCATCACAGAGTGAGTAGAGGTGGGCCATCTCCATTTCAGATTTGGCCAGGTTGATAGCTTTGTTGAACATTTCAATGGCTTTATCCAGATTACCTCTGAAATAAACCAAAACGTTGACCAGTTAAGACTGGAAAAGCGAATCTCCTCATCTCTACAGCATCTTTCTTCCTTCAGGACTTTCAGCCTCCACTACTAACAGCTAACAGGACTTCAGGAGGAACCACGACGAGAACTTGTGATGATGATGGACAAACTGAGAGGAGTGGTTACCAAGCCTAAGCAACTTGGACAGCTGTTTAACAGCCTTCCTCTTGAGAGCTCCCATGGCTGGTAGCGGGCAACAAAATGTTCTCCACAGGACGCCAAGTTTACCACAAAGATAATGCTGGGACAACTAAATGAACTCTCATCTCCCTTAGAAAGAGCCTGTACACTTGACAGGAAAACTAGCAAAGACAAGAGCTCAAGTTATTTACATAGGAAATGCTTGCAAAATTTCTCATGGCAACAGTTTGTCTGCCTTTCTGTTGGCTAGACACATACAAAAAGACTCTACTATAGTCCCAGCTACACTTCAAACGTCTGCACAATTGTAATACAATGCACTGTTACAGAATAGCACATTAGACTTTCTTCTTTATCCTGTGAGCTTGCAAACTGCAGTCCTGTTGGCATGAAACCCAAATGGTCTGGCTTCAGCTCAGGATCCTCAGTGCAAAAGGTCCAGTAACACGTTTACAGACTACACTAGGTACACAAGAAGCCTAGCAATGATTAAGGAAGTCACTCTGAATGCAGAAGGGATGTATTTAAACAGACACAGCCCCATCTGCATGTTGTCTGTTAAGTATGAAATTGGTGAACACAGGAACTTATCAGACCATAAAGCAAAATTATGCCACAGAGAAGGCAGGCCTTCCCTGAGAGTTACAGAACAGAAATCAGGACAAAGCTGACCTCGCACAGCACTGGGCAGAAGATCTTAAGCTTAAGGTCCATAGGGAAATCTGAAGGACTGCTATAATTTCAAAAGTAACCAGGAACTCTTAACACTGCAATTCAACATTACCTTTGTACTTCAATCGTTCCCATGGTTTCATATGCAAAGTCACACTTGTTATCGATTTCAATGGCCTTGCTTATGAGTTCTAACCCTTTGTCTAAATCTTGCTTCCACTGGAGCTGAAGTAAACTGTAGGAGAAAAAGTAAATTGAGAGCAAATTTCACATACTCCTCCCATAACCAACATCATGTAAGCCAAAAAAAGATCCCAAATGTTTGCAATTCCTAATGCAATTCCTGACTTCACTGCTTTTAAAAACTTATATGTGAAAGTCACTTTCAATAAGCCATGTTATTTGTTTAATGACTCTGAAGATAAATATTTTATGAAAAAGAAAACTTCAGCACCAAGCTTAAATTAAATGGGGCTAAAATAAGTCATAGACTTCCAAACAGACACTCAATTAGGAATGAACAGTAATGAAACTTTACTGAAACAGTTTCTCTTGACTAAACTGTAAATAGGTTTTCACATAGTTATTTTTCCTGGCTAAGCTTCTAAAAACAAACATTTGTTTAAGGCTGATTCACATAAACAACTGCTCTAGACCAAAAATACCGCAAGCTCAATACATACCCTTTATGAACATATGTAGTGGCATTGTCTGGCTCAAGGTCAATGCATTTATCATACATTTCATCAGCCTTGCCAAACTGCTGTTGATCAGTTAGTGCCTGCATCAAAAGAGAAACCTGCATGTCAATACGCAACCAAAACATGCACTCTGCACTTGGCTAATTCTAATTAAAACCATATTGACGATGTGAGACTGGACACAATGCTGCTATTGTAGAGCAGGCCAGGCACACCAGTTACCACAGTAAAGTGCAGAAATTACTGATCACAGCACCATCTGTACTGGGAGATCCACAAGCAACAATGAAAGTAAAAACCATTCTAGAATTCTGTACCTGCAAACCTCAATTTCTTCATTTTTCACGTGTACTTCTTTCAAAAAGAAACGTATCCATACTGCCTACCCACTTAAAATCAGAACATCTCATGCTTCGTACTAGAACCACCAGAAATATTATCTTAGAGAAGAAATGCCAGTCTCTGCTACAAGTATACTCTGAACATCTGCACGGAACTCTGCCTGACCAGTGTATCTCACTTGCAGCAGAATGAAAGCATTACCCTAGTTCCACACCTTTAACTCCCAAATTACCTAGGGAATCCATGACAACTATCAAGTGTTATGCCACACATGTGCAGGAATTAAAGGGGAAATGTATGCCAGACTTCTGTCTCCTAATAACCACCCTTAACTCTCATTACTTATATTCTGCTCCACCAATTCCCTGTCTATTTTCTCTACCCCAGAACAACCATACCCATAAATTCAAGTATCTTATTAAAGAAGCATGTGCTATCTCAGAACTTGTTGTCAAAGATCTTCATATATTATTTGAAGAAATGTATGTTATCCAAGATAAAAGGTGCAAGAGAATGCAGCATTTTCTCTGAGAGAGAGAAAAACATACCTGAGCATACAGTGCGTAGCCTTCAGCACACTTTGGAAACTTTTTTATGACATCTTCAAAGCCTTTCATGGCCACTTGCACAGGCAAAGGATTATTTCCTGTATAAGCTTGGCGATACTACTCAAGAAAGAAAAAGAAAAAAGGAAAACATGAAACACCACAAAAAGGACTCATTTGACCTCTACCCACTTCTCCAAGAGATGCATGCATTGTAACAGAACAACTTCCACAAGGTGATATGGCTGTACCTCCTACCAAATCTATTTTTAGGAACCTACCATGTGTCCAAGTCTCTGGTAGAGTAGACTTGGAGAGGAGAAAGGACAAAAGAAGGAAGTCATAAAGGCCTGGTAGTTGCCAATAGCCATCTCCTATTTCAAAAGCCTAGAAATTCCAAGCCTATATTTCCTCCTTGTTCACACCATGCAAAGCTGTCCTCAGAGATTCCTGCATGCAGAGGCTTGAAACAGTCTGGTTCCGATTTCTTGAATATGATAGCTTTCCACATTAAAGCTTTATTTAAATCAATTTCATGCGTTACAGTTAAAGATTTGTGATCCCTCTACCACAAAGCAAATAATGAACATTGCAAAATGAAAGCAGCAAACCCCTACTCCCACTGAAGAAACTGCTCCATTATTTCTTGACCTTATTATTAAAAGATAAGAGATGTTTGCGGCTCTACTTCTCCAGTAAATTGAAATAAAACAGAAACACAGTATGTTTTCCAGAAGTCTTTAAAAAGAAGAAGCACCCAGGTAAACACCAGCATGTTACCTACCAGGGCAAAACATTTCTGTGCTTGAGCCAAGGCAGAATCAGGTCGCAATCGGATACATTCATCAAAGTCTTCCACAGCCTCTTCAATTTGGTCAAGCAGTATTTTCAGCTAGGCAGAAAGAAAGAAAATCCTATTTCTGTATTTAATCTGTGCTTCAGACACTTAAGTGATAGTTCAATTAGCATCAGTTGGTCATATCATCTCCAGTTAAGTTTTAGAACTGCCTAGAAGCTTAGAAAACCTGTAACTGGATCACTGCCATAAAATAACAGGATCACCAGGAAAACTTTGGCTTCGTGCACAAAAAAGCAAAGTTCATAAGTAAGGGATTGAAAATGCTTGCATTTTAGACTGCTGCCATTACTGCTTTAGCATTATGTCCAACCTCCAAAACTATGCTGTGTTTTCTCAAGTTGTTTTGCCTTGCTGTAGTTAATGTCTGTGGACTATTTGGATGTCGAAACATTTTGGCTTTCCCAGCTTTCATGTCAACTTTTTTTTTTTTTGACATTCTCATTCCTCTACAAGAGAGGAGCTCACTTTATCATTCTCTTCTTTTACTGTGAAGTTACCGTAAAAACACTGATTTTCAATCTGCAGAAAACCTTCATTCCCTTCAATCAACACATCACACCATTCTTATTTCAGAGCACGAAAGAGATCTAATGAATTCACGGAGAGACACATTTGATCCTTGGAAGTCTTCTTTATGAATATGACTCAGCATATCTGCATACCGTAGTGCTTCCTTTCTCTTCCAGCATCTTTTATATTAGTTCTGTGGAAGCAGGCCCCTCTAGGCCTAGAAATTATTCAAGGACACAGCAGGGTCACAAGCCAGAGAGGGATGAGCTGAAGATTCAAGTCTAGGCCACCATGCTGCAGATGCGAGTTATCAAGAACACACATTACATCCACTGTCACAAAGCTTCCTTCGATGCAGATGCTGCTCTGCTGTATCAGGCACCTTCACAGAGCAGCTTGCATCTGCTGTGGATGTATATAAGCCCTACTACTTTTAAGTCAGAGGTCATACTGATAGAGGACAAACTCTGTCACTTTGCGTTCTTTCCTACAGCTACAGAAATAAACTGCTTCTGCCAAACCTGAACCTGCAAATTAGACTGCGTATTTATTCTGCAACAGTTCCAAATTAGGAGTTCATGTTTTTCTGCCACAAACAGTTTAAAGTGTCTCCGATGATGTACTGATCCGTAATTTTCTTTTAGTATATACTGAAATATTCAGGTATTGAGACAAAAATCTCTTGATGTTTCTTACTTGTCCTCGATGGTGGTAAACATCTGCATTCTGAGGGTCAATATCAGCAGCCATGTTGAAGTCCTGAGTGGACAGCACAGGTTGCTGCTGCTGCATATACATACTTCCTCGCTTGATCAGAGCATTAGCTCGGAGCTGTAAAAAAAAGTTCCAAGAAGCATTAGCCACTCCAACGTTCCTCAGATTATGGCTTTGTTACAGTTACAGTAAATTCTTCGTTTGATTAGTTTCTCCCACTGACAGATTTCATTCAAAGCAGGAATAAACTTCATATTGACTCTAAGAATGAACTCTCTTGCTAAATTTCAAATAGGTCAGCCTATGCTTCCCGTTCAGTGGGTTTTCAACCCCAAAAAATCCACAGGTTCCCTATGCTTAAGAACAGATCAGCATTTTTTGAAGGAGTTCAACATGAAAGTACAATTAATGGGTTTTTTGCTCTTATTTAGCAACTGATTTTTCAGACTGGATAGGCCTCCAATTCATTTAAATTTGTCTGTTCTTTAGTTTGCACTAAGCACACATGTCTCAAAAATAAAAAAGCCCTTTAAAAACAATTTGTAAGGAATAAAAAGACAAAATGGTAAATAAACCAGAATGTTCCCAGAGGTATCTGAAAACTTGGAAAATCAAGCTCTTGAACTATACTGAACTTAACTTCTACGTTTTCTCAACCCAAACTACAATCCAGCTGTGACAGATTCTTACCTTCACATTTGCATCTTCCATGCTGATGACCTGATCTAGGTCTGGTTTGGCAGCATTTGCATTGCCAATAAGAAGGTAGAAAGTAGCTCGCAGAAGCAAAGCTTCTGCCATGTATTTTCCCTTTGCTTCAATTTCTTTTGTGCTTTCACTGATAATTTTGTCGTAGTTCTCTTCTTCCATATATTGTTTTGCTCTCAAATAGCCAGAGCTGTTAATGATGTAAAAACAGTTGTATATATACATGCGTTCACTGAACACTGCAATTTCAATTCAAGCTTTTCATTAAATCATAATGAATACTAACTTGTGCCAAACTCAGTTACAACACCAACATTATAAGTAAATTTACAAATATTCCTGGATGGAGCTATCACAGACTGAAAACAGTTGACACAAAAACTGCCAGAACTATTGGGTTGTCCAAAACGTAATTGCATTTTTTAATTAATAAATGGATATATGTATCTTGAAATGTAACTGACTTAATTTTAAACCTCAAATTCGTTATCTAACTTGACAGCTGAAAGTTCAAGATTGGTTTAGAAACAAGTGCACGACTTTGTTAATTATTTGATGTCAATTTCAAAATGGAAAGTGAAAAGGAACATTTGTGTCACATGTATTACTTCAGAAAAAGAAAAAGCTTATAGCAAGTTATGTGATGTGTATGGTGAAGATACTTAAAACTACGGCAGTGTCAGAATTGGTTTGATAAATTTCGATCCCGAGATTTTGATGTTAAAGATGCACCATGCTCAGGAAGGCCAAGCGAAGTTGATAACAACAAAATAAAGGCATTGATCAACTCCAATTGGCATTTAACAACACAACAGATTGCTGATAATTTTAACATACTGAAATTGAGCGTTGAAAACCATTTTAAACGGCTTGGATACATTAGGAAGCTCAATATTTGGGTACCACATGAGCTCAAAGAAATTCATCTCACTAAGTGTGTTGACATCTGTGATTCTCTCTTGAAGAAAGAAGAAGAAAACATGAAGGAAAAGATCCATTTTTGAAACGTATGGTAACAGGTGACAAAAAATGAATTATCTACAACAACAACAAACTAAAAAGAGCAGGCATGATGAACCAGCTCAAAGCACTTCAAAAGGAGATATTCAAAGGAAGGTGATGCTGTCAGTCTGGTGGGATTTCAAAGGTATTGTGTATTTTGCATTGCTTCCCAGGAACCAAACCATTAATTCAGGTGTGCACTGTTGTCAACCGGATAAATTGAATGATGCCATCAAACAGAAGCATCCAGAACTGGTGAATGCAAACGTGTGGTGTTTCTCCATGATAATGCCAGACATAACATACAAGTTTGGTCACTCGTCAAAAATGGTGACAGCTTGGATGGGCTGTGTTACCACATCCACCATATTCACCAGATGGTAGTCTGATGGTGTCACATTTGTTTTGTTCTTTACAAAATGGTAAAACCTTCCCTGCTGATGAGGATATCAGATCGTTCTTGGAACTGCTTTTTGCTGAAAAAGGTAAGTGTTTGCTTGAGCAAGGAATCATCAACTTGCCTGAAAGATGGCAAAAGGTAATTGAACAAAACAGACGCTATACTGTTTAATGAAGTTTTCATTTCCCATGAAAAATTCACCTTTCGTTTACCCAGAAAAAATAACCACAATTACCTTTTCGGCAACCCAATACATTGGAAACAAAGAAGTGTTTTAAAGTGCTTGAACTTGAGCTTCATTTGTATATTGATTTTTTTTTTTCCACATTAAGGACAGCAATAATCTCTGGCTTAAAACAAAGAGGGCTGGGATAGGATTCCAGGTCAGAAAAGTGAAATATCAAATGTAGCAATGTGCAGTTTATATGTGAAAGAAAGGATTTCACAGCAAAAAGTACAGTAACCAGTGCCTTGTCCTCAGCTAAGTGGCCTAGATTCAGTGAATCTGCCTGTAGATCAGGACATTATCTTACTTAAAAAAAATAAATAACTGTAATGCTCTGTGCAATAGTTTCCAGATTGACAGCAGTGATATCTTCAAAAATAAACTGGAAAACAGCATAGTAAGTTAAAGCAGCATCTATGTGGTGCTCAAATTCTACTCAAAAAAAAATTTAAGTTTTTTTTGTCAGATGAAACCTCTCATTTATGTGCAGCTGGATTCCAGAAAGACTAAACAACTTTCAGCCTCAGCTGCTGCAAATTCTTAGTTTTCATTATCAGAGACCCTTTTCCTAGCTTGTCTGCTCCCTTCCAATATAGAAACTAACTTGCTCTCTTCCTTGGGAACTCTGCCTCAGTATAAAACATTCCTTTCTCTAGAAGCATTATTCGCCACTCTCGAGTCCTCCAATCCCCTAAGCTTTACTATGGCAGTGCAGGAAATATTCTGCACATCTTCCCAATTCTACTGTCCTTCCTCTGTTTAGTGGATAAAAGCCACTTCCAGTTCTGAACTAGCCAGTCAGCTTTCATAAATGTTTCACTGTTAATACAGTTCTCATGTCACAGGCTCACTTTATGACTACAGGATTTCCCATGTCAAGTACTATAAAATTAACAGCAAGTTACACTGAGCAGTGTCAAAATCGCTGAAAACTTAATTCTAATACCAAACGATTCCCAACTGTACACTCACTTTTCTTTTACTTCAGAAGCTTCTCCCTCCTTATCCTTATCTTCATCTGATTTCTCACCCTTAAGCAAAGGTTGGGAGATTATATCATCTGTGAATGAACTGAAGTAGGATTTAATGAACTGTGGTGAGGGCATCAGAGGCTCACGATTCTGAAAGAGAGAAATATAATTTCGAGTCATTAGATGGTAAGAACAGATCGTAAATATGGAAATGGATAAACAGATGTGATTATAAAAAAATCATTCATGAAAGAACCAATGTATGACTTTCCACTACCTCATTTGGTATTTTTTATTTGAAAGTTTGACATGTAGAGATGATTTAAGCTTCAGATCACAACTCGGTACACATCACAAGTAGAAAAAAATATGAAGATATTCAAGAGAGGACAAAGGAGATAGTACCTTTCTGCACATGTGGCTAGAAATAAGGACTCTTAGGATACTGTAAGATATTGGGTAGATGTACTGAAGCAGTGTGTGTGTACATAAATGGGTGAAGAATGCAAGCTGGCAGTTTAAGCATGAGCCTGATTTCAAGCAGATTCTGCATGGCAATTTGTCCTCCAACTTGTCCAAGAGAAGCTGCTGTCTATCGTTACAGTGAAGACTAATGAGGCAATGTTCTAATTCTACATGGAGCTTGGCCCAGATACCACACATTCTTGAAGTTCCAGAAGTCCTTTGGATGGTTTGGGGGTTTTTTTGTTTGTTTGGTTTTTTTTTTACAGTAAGGACAGCAACACCACTCATGTACAAAATCCTTTCTACAGCCAGAAAGTATTTCTTGCTCAGAATGAACACTGCACACAAGAACTACAATTCATCTCTCCCTCCAGAGAAGTCTGACTGCACTCTTATGAATCTCTTCATTAAGTTCTATCATAATACTGCCTATTGGAAGCACACCTATTTTATGATGCTACCATCACTAAACTAATAGCACAACTCATTTTTGTTACCTCAGCATCACACCTTTATGTGAATTTATACAGGAAAGAAATTCAGCACCTCAAAACCAATGTGGATTTCAGTACTTCGACCATCACAGAAACAAATAAGTATGTTTTAAGAACAAGTGAGAATGTTTTAATACCTGTCCCAACTTTTTTGTAAGCCTACAGTCACTTAAAATGACTGCTCCTGGCTACCTCTAAACTTCCATAGTCCTCTCTTCTGCAGTTTCCAAATGTTAACGCTCAAGATGTACTTTTCTGGTTTGGTACTTGGACAAGTATGAGCACCTGTTTACAGAAATGGAACAGAAAGAGCCTGCGACTGTATGCCACAAGTAGTTTGTGGTAGTCAGGAGATGAAGCTGTATTTCTCAAGACAGAATCAGGATGTCTGACCCCTAATAAAGACATGTGAACTCACACTGCATTATTTTTCCTTAAGCAATGATTTTTGCTTTTCTTAAGAAAAAAAGCAAACCACAAAAACCACAAACAACAAAAAAACACCAAACAAACAAAAACCCAACAAAAAATGAAACACAAACCCACCTTAAACCTCTTTTTTGCCTCTTTCTCAAAAGAATTCTGGTGTCAACTTAATATTTCCTACATTACATGTCTATTTATAAAACCAAGAATAACTTGTGGAAAAAGCCCTCATTCTTCTAAATTGATGCTATTCATTACACATGGAACCAACATTTTTATGCATTTTCAGTTATTACCTATAAACCTTCCTATCTTAACACACACACTTAAGCACCTGATGTGCAACCAAACATTTGGCTATTCCTGTTCCAACGTACCGTTTCCATTATGTTGCAAGTCCAGAAAAGCCCAATGTAAGGCAGCACACCAACTTAGGTGTCTCCTGAATGTGACCAGTCAGGTGAAATCAGAATTTGTCAGCAATATCACAAGTCCTACCTTGTATTTCTCTTTGGCCTTTTCCTTTCCAAGGAGTTTAAGAACTTTATCAGCTAATAACATACTTTGCTGGTTTTGGAAGGCTTCTAAAATGCAGACTGCAGTGACATCTGGGAAACAATACACAAAAGTGAGATTAGAGACAAATTCTGATAGTTGCGGAAGTCCAGTAAAACGTGCCACTTTTACAGCGAGTCACTGTCAAACAAATGTCCTCTTCGAGGGTGAAAGCATCTGTTTCCAGTATTTACCATGTTTTCCAAGATACAAATTTGTATCCAAAATTATCACCTTGTGATAGACAGTGAATGAAAGAAATTTCATTTATTTTTACCTTCATAGGTTTTTTTTTCCCTAGAGACATGTACACTTAGACAAACAGTGAAAATGTGTACCTCCAGCAAGGGCTTTCAACATTTCAAAACTTTGGGGATAATTATGTTCATATCATGTTCACATCAAAAGTGTTAACATAGCTTCTCTTCTAGAACTGGTCCTAATTTTCTACTTTTAAAATTCACGTTCAGTCCAACCACATCTTGCTGCTTATTCAGTTTAAGAAATCTTCTCATATTGTACCTCAGATTTTTCTGCTTACCTCTGTGACTTCAGAATGGAGCAAGTTTAAGAGAAACGGTTTGCTGGCCTATTTAAAGTGCTAATCCATGTCATATCACTTTCATCCACAGACAGAGCCTCTGCAAACGTTAACCCATTGCTGTCTGAATCATGCTTTGCAGTGCGAAATGTGTTCTCATGGTACATTGTCATTATTTTCTGGGTCCTCTAGTTAATGTAATACTACCACTGATTTTTCCTGTTTAATTTTCACTTAAACATCAGTAAAGACAAACAGGAGCTTGGACTTGTAATTCAAGAGTGTATTGTTTGAATACACTTCAAAAAGTGCATCTTAAGCTGGGATTTAAGTATAGTTTCTGTAGTTCTATCCACTATAGGTACTATTATGCCATCATTTATAAAGAAACTCCCCACAACACTAGCATAGTCAAAAAGCACATCAGAGTCCCCGGGAAAACATGCTATAGCCAGAAAAAGCATGGAAGAGTGTGTGCAGTAATACTGTACTATACCACCTTAGCAGGTATGCTTTGCCCAAAGGGGACAGCTGTAAACTAGTGCCCAGATTTGGGTGAGGCAGCAACATCTTCCCAAATTATACTGCTAGGGATGATTAGAGGGCTTCTTGCTGATGGTGGTGGGGTTCTTCTGAGTTTCTTTGGTTTTGCTTTCCTTCACTACACAGACATACTCTACTTCCTGGGATTTTACTGGCCATACATGATTGGCAGGTGAAAGCAGTATTGTATTAGAAAACCTATGTAGTTCAGAAAAAGCAGGTAATTTTCAGATCTTAAAAACCTGCAAACACAAATCAAGGTTGAAAATAATTGCTACAACATTACTGCTACTATTGTTAAAAAGGAGTTACATTTAAAAGCTATCCTACTATGGCAGGGCCATTTGATCTTTCTTGGGACTTTTATCATCTGTCTGTTTATCACAACTATGTAAGGTTTAGATTTTCTTATACAGCACTTTGGAAGTGCAGCTGTTGGTCAATTAGTGATTGCAAAGGACTACAACAAATGACAAGGACCTAAGTAGTCCTATTCTACTCACTATAGTCTTACAGGTCAGGAAGGCATTCTGCCAGCAGATAAATAAATAGATAGATAAATCAAATTTGCACATCTTATTTACTTTCTAATTCAGCAGACCTAATTCTGAGCTGTTACACTTAACGAAACTAATTTAACAGTTAGATTGGCCAGTCAGAGCACTCCCTCATTTTCTGTCCTTTGATAATGAGCACAGCTGAAAAATTTAATTTGCC